TCATGTCAGATAATCAAGTCAAGATGTCAATCAGTGAGTGAGGGCAGGAGCATCGGTCTAACCCATTAGGGCCGACGACACATATTCCTCGAGCCTGACCACCGAACCATTTTCGTCGACCCTCAAGACAACCAGTAGAGCACCGGACACCAATATCCAGTAATATGGCGTTGGGAACTGGGGAACTGGTTGTACTAAGTGTACCCATGTGAAGTAATCGAACCCGGATCTTCAGTGTGACGAGCGAACACTTTAAACACAAGGCCACCCAACTGGTCCTAGGCCTAACATGTCCCCCTCATTATGCAGTAGTTCAGGGAGCGGCGGGGTAACCTACTTGTTGGTCAGGGTTTGATTCCCCATAGTGGTACAACGTGTGTAAGCTGATGTCAGGTGTCCCCCGCTGTGATAGTGATGGATTATTACTAAAAGTGGCGTAGAACCATACTCGCTCACAAGAACCATACTGTAGTCGTCTAACCGTCCCAGAGTTGCACGCAAGAAACCTATGCCTGTGGGTTCGAATGCCGATTGTACACGATTATGTTTCTAGGTTTGTCAGCACCATAACCGTGCTCGTGGGTTTCACCAAAATGGTAAATACCTGAGACCTGCATCACTTCGGGTTTTTCTCCCACATTGAGCTGACAAGCCCATGATATAACTGGAATACTGTTAAACACGGCGTTTAACTTCACTCACTCACTCACTACAGTAGTATATGTAGTATGTAGTATCAAACACTCTATACCCAGTATTCAAATGGGTTTCCGGTTCTATTCACCTGTCACGTGAGAGTAAATAAAATATTAGACCCATCTCAGATAAATAACCTTTTCTACTTATTTTTCTTTTTTTGTCGCTCAGAAAGGTATATCAACGTAAAGGTCAAGACCCAAGAGCATGTTTCTCACTCTTGAATTCTCACGAAAGGCATCAATAAAATCATCAATATTGTAAATGTTCTAGATGAATAATTGGCTTGATGTGTCTACTCAAAGCCTAAGAAACAATTATCTTTTCCAAAATTGTCTGCGTTATTTACTGACCTCGGAATGGACTCTTCAAAACAAATTCACACAATAGACCTCTGACGATATCGCGATTCAAATATCCTGTGTTCGCGGAAAAAAGATATTGGTTGTTATTTATTCATATAGCAGACATTGGCGTATACGTATTTCATTAGTTGTTTGTCTCATGCCTTTGTTGAAATATATTGATGGTCTTGATTGTAATCTCTTCCACTTGATTTACCGAAACCGTATCAATGCAAAAACCCCAAGTGGGTTCTTGTGAGAACTGCTGAATACTCGCTATAGCAATTAAAGAAAAAAAACACACTATCTCATCGGTTTGAATATGCCCCTTTGCGAATATAATTGTTTCCTGTCGTCAAATAATTCTAAATATGATACCTATTTATACTTGGTTTATAATAATAATAATAATAACAACAACAACAACAACAACAACTGTTTGATAGTCATTTCTTAGAAGTTGGCGGATGACAAAGTAGACAAAACAATATGTGGATAAAAACTTCTTTAGCATACTGTAATAGCGACGTCTCGATATAGACTCTTATACTGTTATCAAGCAAGAATAATGAACATGGATCAGAATTATATAGTTGGTGAAAGACTAACAGTTACAACAATTATCATTCGTCAGAGGGATTAACATGAGTTAACAAATAGCAGAAGGAAATATAGTACCAACATTGGGTAGAGGCAGTTATTGTGTATGTGAACGTATATAAGAAGCAATGCAGCAGTTAGGCTATTAGGAATGTGAATTTACATTTGCAACATTAGAAACAATGACATTAGTGATAGTAACAGCTATCAGGAATGTGAATTTACATTTATAACAGTAGTAACAATGACATTAGCGATAGTGACAGCTATTAGGTATGTGAATTTACATTTGTAACAGTAGAAACAATGACATTAGCGATAGTAAAAGCTATTAGGAATGTGAATTTACATTTGTAACAGTAGAAACAATGACATTAGCGATAGTAACAGCTATTAGGAATGTGAATTTACATTTGTAGCAGTAGAAACAATGACATTAGTGATAGTAAAAGCTATTAGGAATGTGAATTTACAATTGTAACAGTAGAAACAATGACATTAGCGATAGTAACAGCTTTTAGAAATGTGAATTTACATTTGTAACAGTAGTAACAATGACATTAGTGAAAGTAACAGCTATTAGGAATGTGAATTTACATTTGTAACAGTAGAAACAATGACATTAGTGAAAGTAACAGCTATTAGGAATGTGAATTTACATTTGTAACAGTAGAAACAATGACATTAGTGAAAGTAACAGCTATTAGGAATGTGAATTTACATTTGTAACAGTAGAAACAATGACATTAGTGAAAGTAACAGCTATTAGGAATGTGAATTTACATTTGTAACAGTAGAAACAATGACATTAGTGATAGTAACAGCTTTTAGGAATGTGAATTTACATTTGTAACAGTAGAAACAATGACATTAGTGAAAGTAACAGCTATTAGGAATGTGAATTTACATTTGTAACAGTAGAAACAATGGTCTTAGTGATAGTAACAGCTATTAGGAATGTGAATTTACATTTGTAACATGAGAAGCAATGAAGCAGTAATAGTAACAGCTTTTAGGAATGTGAATTTACATTTGTAACAGTAGAAACAATGACATTAGCGATAGTAACAGCTATTAGGAATGTGAATTTACATTTGTAACAGTAGTAACAATGACATTAGTGAAAGTAACAGCTATTAGGAATGTGAATTTACATTTGTAACAGTAGAAACAATGACATTAGTGAAAGTAACAGCTATTAGGAATGTGAATTTACATTTGTAACAGTAGAAACAATGACATTAGTGAAAGTAACAGCTATTAGGAATGTGAATTTACATTTGTAACAGTAGAAACAATGACATTAGTGAAAGTAACAGCTATTAGGAATGTGAATTTACATTTGTAACAGTAGAAACAATGACATTAGTGATAGTAACAGCTTTTAGGAATGTGAATTTACATTTGTAACAGTAGAAACAATGACATTAGTGATAGTAACAGCTATTAGGAATGTGAATTTACAATTGTAACAGTAGAAACAATGACATTAGCGATAGTAACAGCTTTTAGGAATGTGAATTTACATTTGTAACAGTAGAAACAATGACATTAGTGAAAGTAACAGCTATTAGGAATGTGAATTTACATTTGTAACAGTAGAAACAATGACATTAGTGAAAGTAACAGCTATTAGGAATGTGAATTTACATTTGTAACAGTAGAAACAATGACATTAGTGAAAGTAACAGCTATTAGGAATGTGAATTTACATTTGTAACAGTAGAAACAATTACATTAGTGAAAGTAACAGCTATTAGGAATGTGAATTTACATTTGTAACAGTAGAAACAATGACATTAGTGATAGTAACAGCTTTTAGGAATGTGAATTTACATTTGTAACAGTAGAAACAATGACATTAGTGAAAGTAACAGCTATTTGGAATGTGAATTTACATTTGTAACAGTAGAAACAATGACATTAGTGAAAGTAACAGCTATTAGGAATGTGAATTTACATTTGTAACAGTAGAAACAATGGTCTTAGTGATAGTAACAGCTATTAGGAATGTGAATTTACATTTGTAACATGAGAAGCAATGAAGCAGTAATAGTAACAGCTTTTAGGTATGTGAATTTACATTTGTAACAATAGCAACATTAGCAATAATGGCAACATAGGTTGTAGTAGCTACAAGGAATGTGAATGTATATTTGTAACAGAAGACACAATGGCAGCAGTGGTTGTAGTAGCTATAAGGAATGTGAATGTATATTTGCAACAGTAGACACAATGGCAGCAATGGTTGTTGTAGCTATAAGGAATGTGAATGTACATTTGTACAGTAGACACAATGGTAACATAGGTCGTAGTAGCTATAAGGAATGTATATGAACATTTGCAACATTAGCAACAATGGCAGCAATGGTTGTTGTAGCTATTAGATATGTAGAAGTATACAAGTATACAAGTATATGTAGTTTTAATAACGGTGGTCGCAGTTAAAGACAAACATGTATAGTAACATATATGAGGTATGCGAAGGAACAACAGTAACATAAGTAACAACAAAGTCACTAGTAGTAACATTTATCGGGGCAGGTTTAGTGGAAGCAAGCTACGTTTGGCTTGTTGGAGAAGTAGAAATATAGCAGACCAGAGACAAAGCAAATAGAACTCCAAGGACAAGAGCAATGTCAGGGGAAACAACACAGAAATACAATACATGTCTAGATATTGTGCAGTAAGTAAAGTAGAATCTGCTGTTTGACACAACCTCTTGACAAAAGACAAATAATCTTCTTCAATGGAGCGCGAACACAATCTTACACACATCTTGATATCAAAAGACTGCGATGCCGCGTCCGTTAAGATGTTAAACGAACCGTTATTCTTTTATTCTTAAATATCAAATATCAAATGATCCCCTATATAGTGATTCTATTTCTTTCTAAGTATCAAGACCAATCAATGTCTGCAATACAGACGTAAAGGCCACTGGAATAATTTCAAATTGGGTATTATGAAAACTGAATCCTTCAGTTTTCTATTTCAATGTGATGAGATAGCCTTTGACCCTTCTCTACTGAAGTATGGTTGTGATCACGTTTCACAATTTGTCGTTGTGTTCTTGTTGCCGTAGTCGTTGATGTTTATCATGCTAAGTATATTTGTTAGTGTATTTTATTTGTTAGTGTATTGGAGTTGTGGAGTGGAGGAACGGTAGATCGGTGGGGTTGTCGAGCGGTAGATCGGTGGAGTTGCGGAGCGGAAGCAAGTTGGAGCGGTGGGTGTTGTGGAGTGGAGGGGAGTAAGATCGGTGGATTTGTGGAGTGGAGGCACGGTGGAGCGGAGCGGTGGGGTTGTGGAGTGGAGGAACGGTGGAACGGTGGGGTTGTGGGGTGTCGGGGAGAAAGATCAGTGGTGTTGTGGAGTGGAGGCACGATGAACGATGGGGTTGTCGAGCGGTAGATCGGTGGAGTTTTGGGGGGTAGGAACGGTATATCGGTGGAGTTGTGGAGTGGAGGCACGGTGGAACGGTGGGGTTGTAGGGTGTCGGAGAGAAAGATCAGTGGTGTTGTGGAGTAGAGGCACGATGAACGATGGGGTTGTCGAGCGGTAGATCGGTGGAGTTTTGGAGTGGAGGAGAGGAAGATCGGTGGATTTGTGGAGTGGAGGCTCGGTGGAGCGGTGGGGCTGTGGAGTGGAGGCACGGTGGAACGGTCGGGTTGTGGGGTGTCGGGGAGAAAGATCAGTGGTGTTGTGGAGTGGAGGCACGATGAACGATGGGGTTGTCGAGCGGTAGATCGGTGGAGTTTTGGGGGGTAGGAACGGTATATCGGTGGAATTGTGGAGCGGAAGCAAGTTGGAGCGGTGGGGGTTGTGGAGTGGAGGAGAGGAAGATCGGTGGATTTGTGGAGTGGAGGCACGGTGGAGCGGTGGGCTTGTGGAGGGGTATATCGGTGGAGTTATGGAGTGTAGGAACGGTAGATCGGTAGAGTTATGGAGTGAAGGAACGGTAGATCGGTGCAGTTGTGGAGTGGAGGCCCGGTGGCCGATGGGGATGTGCAGCGGAGGTAGGGTGGGTTGGTGGTCGTGGAGTGGCGTGGGGTGGAGTGGAGAGAAAGAGATCCGCAGCTGATCTCTGCACCGAGGGAAGAGCGTTTGGACATATACTAATCTTTGGAACATCAACGTTACGTAAATTAGGAACCTTCCTCTTGTACCTACCTCTATATTACGTATTCAAATTAAACTGATTTGCTCAAATAACCCTATAATCCTTTCCCCCTTCCCCTCACAGCAGTCGCCTGCCTGGCCCCACAGTTTACAACTTTACCGTACTTCCATGTATGCATACTTAATATTATTTCGATCTTATTGTTAAAGGAATGCTTCTCTCAGTTAAATTGCAAAATCGGATTAATCATGCAAACGTATGTCATGACGATTGGCATTTCACTGTTACAAGAGGAAAACAGAATGGGTCACCTGTCTGGCACAAATGCATTGACTTTGTAGCAAATTGGGCATATACATCACGTTAATTCACGTGTGGCACATACGATACACCATACACCAAATACAATACACCATACGTCACGCACAAAACACCATACACAATACACCATACGCCATACACAGTACACCATACACAGTACACCATACACAAAACACGACACGTCATACGCCATACATCACACACAATACACAATACATTATACACAATACACAATACACAATACACAATACACAAAACACAATACACCATACACAATACACAATACACAATACAGAATACATAATACACAATACACAATACACCAACTCCCCCTCCACTCCCTCTATTCCCTATAACACAACCGCCGGATATTTTGTACACCAAACGATAGGCAATGTACAGTAAAGTTTCAAAATATGTTCTTCATCTTCTCAAAGCAATTAATTGCAACCAGACAAAAAGTGAAATCCTCGCCCTGAAGTAACCGTAATAAGATCATTTGATCTTAATAACTTAGTCAATACCTGAATATCAACAGTCTCAGAATTTACACCACGGAGTCAATTAAAACTATACAGTCCATTGGTGTAGTGTAGGGTATACGAATCTTGAAGGCGTTGTCTGTTCTCAATAGCGCAGTATATAATAAACATCACTATATATATATTTAAAAAAACCATTGACATGAGAACAGGACAATATTGCTTTGGGCAAAAAGGTTTTAATATGATTCATTGGTATCAAAGATCAATTTCAATACCTATTCATAGTCAGGATTCTCATCTTCCTGAAAGAAATTATATGTATACAGCGAATATCGTTATGGTTGATAATAAACTGTTTTAGTGTCAACTTCATTGGTTTGACAACAATCGGTTGATTTACCGATACGGTCTCTTATAAAATACAAACCTTTTATATATGTCTGTTGGTAGGGTTGGCGTATTGGCGTATTGGCACATAGATCGTATTGCAATATATCGCAATACAGAGAGCTGTATTGCGATACGTACTGCAATACGTACAGGGCACACATTATATATATTTGTACTATTTAAATGGTACTTTTTCATTCAATAATCCAGACTTCAGATTACCTAGAGACTACCTATTACGTCATAAATATGGATTGTTAAGGTAAACAGAGTGAAGCGTGCGCTATTTACATGGTTAGATAGAAACCTAGTCCACCCAAATGCCTCAAGATAGTATATATAATTAATATAATTATATATTAATTCATCTGTGACTGTATCAGAAAATATCAATATACAAGGGTTGTATTGCGATACGTGTATTGTTGACGGTCGTATTGCAATATACTCGTACAAGAATACCAGTTATGTCTCATCTGTTAGTAGAGGATATACGAAAGAAGAATGTCTGCTGAATGCGAGAATGTTTGTGTTATTGTAAAAGTGCTGCGTGGCATTGCTTGTGGAGCGACGTACAGAAAGATGTGCATGTTGTTGAGTTTATTAAAATTTGAGAAGTTAATGTTGTAGCAGAAAGTTAAGCTTCAGTCCAAGGCTCATTATTGGTTTGTTTGTTTGTTGTTTAACCCCTCACACAGCAATATTCCAGCAATATGACGGCGGTCTGTACATAATCGAGACTGAACCAGAAAATCCAGTGATTAATATCATGAGCATCGATCTACGCAATTGGGATCGATGACATGCATAAACCAAGTCAGCGAGCCTGACCACCCGATCCTGTTAGTCGCCTCTTACAACAAGCATAGTCGCCTTCTACGGCAAGCATGGGTTGCTGAAGACCTTTTCTATCCCGGATCTTCACGGGTCTCAAGCCTCATGACAATGATAGAAGTGCAATAGACGATGTAAATAATATAAGTGCTGCAACAATGAAAATGTTCTAAACGATCAGGTTTTAGACATCTCACCATTTAATAAATCATTATATCTTTCTTAAAAAAATGAAACAGTTATTTTAGAAACAATGACAGCAGTGATTGTAGTAGCTATTAGGAATGTGAATTTATATTTGTAACATTAGACACAATAGCAACAATGGTTGCAGTAGCTAATAGGAATGTGAATGTAAATTTGTAACATTAGACACAATAGCAACAATGGTTGCAGTAGCTAATAGGAATGTGAATGTAAATTTGTAACATTAGACACAATAGCAACAATGGTTGCAGTAGCTATTAGGAATGTGAATGTAATTTTGTAACATTAGACACAATAGCAACAATGGTTGCAGTAGCTAATAGGAATGTGAATGTATATTTGTAACATTAGACACAATAGCAACAATTGTTGTAGTAGCTGATAGGAATGTGAATGTATATTTGTAACATTAGACACAATAGCAACAATTGTTGTAGTAGCTTATAGGAATGTGAATGTATATTTGTAACATTAGACACAATAGCAACAATTGTTGTAGTAGCTTATAGGAATGTGAATGTATAGTTGTAACATTAGAACAATGACAGCAGTGGTTGTAGTAGCTATTAGATATGTTGAATTATTGATTTGTTTGTTTGTTGTTTAACGCCGCACTAAGCAATATTCCATATCTGTCTGTAAATAATCGAGTCTAGACCAGACAATCCAGACAAGCATCGAGCCATGCAATTGAGATACGATGACATGCATCAACCAAGTCAGCGAGCTATTAGTAAGTTATGGCTATAAGTAATGAAGTAAACAAGTATAAGCGAAGTATTGAAGTAAGCCACTATATTTGTAGTAACTGTTTGTTTTGTGTCCCAATAGTTTCGTTCCGATTTCTTTCTTATTTATCAAAGCATGCAATGTGTCTGGCTTTTCACGGGCTGACTCCACCTGAAAATAGTTTGTGCTGCATCAGAACTAAATCTTTGCTTTTTATATTTCAGGGTAGTTAGGTATTTCCCTTTCTACTGAAGAACTGTTCACGAAGTGGTTGTGATGACGTCTCTAAATATGTAGTCGCTGTTGTTAGAGTACACATTTTGTGTATACAAATATATTTTTCACATCTGGGTAAATTAGAAGACACGAAGAAAGGGTTCGAGATTTCTTTCTCCTGGACGTATTCGCTCACTATCCGATCCCGCCTCGTTGTGTGTTTTCTCTGCTATATAACCTTAGGCAATTGATTTTTAAACTTGGACATATTAATTTTGTCTGACAATATCACTTTAGCTCAATTTCTGGAGGTTGAAGGTTACACTTTTTAATCTTGTGGGTAAAGCTTGACCCTAGATAGAGACTATGACGTTTACATTGTCTCAATCAACTCAAATTACTAATCATTTGAACACAGCGTCACAGCATATGTATACCATTGTAAGATATGAGACTGCCTCCCTACCACCTGAGCTGTCTGGTCTTTAATGAACACATACACTGTGTCCTCAAACCACCATTTTGTCAATGTCTGGTAAAGCAGACAGCTAAATTGCTGTTTCAACCATCCGGCGTCGAAATAGAGAACGGCTATATATGACCCGCACGGACACATGATACAAGGTTTGGATTGTAAATACGAACCTTATGGAATGTATCGTATACCTTATGAGTGTATGAATTTATCCTGTCTGAGTGAATGGACGATCCGGTGTGATAGAGAGAGAGAGAGAGAGAGAGAGAGAGAGAGAGAGAGAGAGAGAGAGAGAGAGAGAGAGAGAGAGAGAGAGAGAAGGGGAGAGATGCACTGTTGAATAAACAGTTCTTTACACAAATCTTTTAGTTGTACATAGAGAGAGAGAGAGAGAGAGAGAGAGAGAGAGAGAGAGAGAGAGAGAGAGATATATGAGAACAATGAGAAAAAGACACCCAGGGGGATTTAGAATCAGAGACACAAGTACAAACAGAATGACAGAAATAGAGTAGAAATAGAAATTGAAAGTAGAGGAGAAAACGTTTAGACCAAAGAGATACATCGAGAAAGACAAAGAGACAAGGAGATCGATACAGAAAAATCGCATCAGACATAGACAGACAGACATAGACAGATTTGCAGAGAAATATACATACGAGGGGGTCAGCCACAGTCACAATAAATCAGACATGGTCAGAGACAGCCAGACATGACGACAGAAAGGGGCAAAGCGAGACGACGACAGACATAGACAGGAATGGAGACACAGAGAGACAAAGAGGGACAGGGAAGTATTAACACAGAGAGAAAGACGACACAGGTAGAGGGGAGGGAAAAGAAAGAGATACTATACGTTCACCATTCTTGGTGTTATCTGTACAATAATGAGTTGCAACAACCCATTGCCATCGTACAATTACAACAGGTTGGCATGTTGGAAACTATTTCTCAATACTTTCTCATACAGATTATAAGGCAGCCAGAAAGAACTAGAACATCTGCTTTGACAGTAAATAAAATGCAATATTTACAGCATACTGTGGGAGCGCAAGTGTCAAACACATCTATAATTATAATAGATATTTTAATCACTAACAACGCGATGTCGCTGATGACGTACAATGCTTTGAGGGTTACTCAAAAACTGTAGATGGAGTGATGGGGATGTGATGGAGGTGTGGTGGAGAGATACAGGTCTTCCCAGGGACCGTGTCATCTCTAACTATGACACTAGATGAACCACACCTACTGTATTACATTGATGTATATTGATGAAATGAGAAGAGGGAGATAATGTTCTGTGCAAA